TATTTCAACATTTCCTCTCCCCAAATTCTGTACCCTGGATATAGAGATATGTACTGTAAGCCAATATTTCATCAAAATATTATTTTTTTTGCATGAAAATTGTCACCTTTTTATTTTTAATTAGATAAATTCTGCGCAAAATTCTGAGCACCCTCAATTTGTTTAAATATAAAGTATACAAATGTTCTTGGTTTTTTAGGTTCTTTCTAAAGCATGTTTTCATTTATTTGCATGGATTCATAAGTTTGTTTAATATGGATAAATTTTGTCAAGGTTTTCGATTTTCTCAAAAGGATTTTTATCCTTTTTAGTTGATCAAACAGTTAATACAATTAGATCTGTCGATTTTACCATCTGATAATATGTATTGTTTTAGTTATGACTATCTTGACAAATTTTGTAAATTTTGTTAATTTGTACAATTGTGATTAGATTGACTAAGTTTCGTTCTCTTTAGTTTTCCAAGTTATGATTTGTCTGGTGAACCATTGAGATTTGAGGTAAAATTTTTTTCAAATTTTGCGTTTTTTGAACTTTCTGATTTATTACATATTTATATGGTTTATTGCACCTCATTTTGAATACTTAAAAAATGTTTTTTTATCACAGAAGTATTATTTTTTAGTTTTTTAGCTACTTTTAAGGGGGGGTAAATAAATAAATCTTCCCCCCTTTCCTCAAATATTACTTAGAAGATTACCTACCTCTAATTGCACGCTTGTTAAAGTAGTATAGAGTGAATTTTTAATTTTTATTTAAGTTAAAATTTGTTAAAAATTTAAAGTAAACAATTTTTTAATTTTTTAAAACATTGAATTTACTATTTTTATCATGTCGCTAATTTTTGATATTGTATTATAGGCGAGAAGTTATGTACTAGGAGTAGTAGAACCTCCCCTGCATCGTGTACTAGTTGTACTGAACCAAACTACTGTACAGTCAAGGTAAGATGAAATAGAATTATGCAAGGAACTGTACACCTTTTTCCTGAATATTAGAAACTTTTTGTGAAATTGTCGATTGACGAGGATGCTAAATAATGGTTTAAGTAATAATTCGCATGGAAAAGCTCATTGAAATCTGTGAAGAAGTGTGAATAGCTATTTATTTTAAAAACGTAGGCAAATTTAAAGAGACCTTGAACAAAACTTTTTAACTGTAAATAACGATTTAAATCGTAGATACAGAATAGAATAGAGATGGGTTTTACTTCTTTATAAATTAAATTATCCATTTTTATATGATGAACTAAACAGTATAATTCAATTCAAGTAGCGAAAAGATCGGCGAAATTTACTTTCGAGCAAGTTTTCAGGATGAACTTTTAACAAAAAGTATTGTAAATTTTAGCTCTCTTGTTAAAACATTATTTTGATTAAAAAAATAGGGGTTTGATGCATGTTTAAAGCAGTCCTAAGCATCTGGATTTTTTGGAGTCACAACATTTTGGCTTCCTGGATTTCAATCCGCTTAAATTTGCGGACCCACGGATCTGGAATCCGTAATCCGTAATCCGTAATCCGTAATCCGTAATCCGTAATCCGTAATCTGTAATCCGTAATCCGTATCCAAGAGGCCAAATATCAACAAAAATTGTAAAAAAATATTTGCTCTTAAATTCAAAATCAAAACGTTGTAAAAGGAGAGATTATTAAAAAATGCTTTATTTCTGAGTGTGGAATGGTTCTTGAAATGTCTTCTTTTGTTTAAAAATCAGTGGTATATAGACGATAACCGTTGGTAAAGTGGATGACAATTATTCTTAATATTCTAGTGGACTGAGCAGTATAAGTACTATTATAATATTCTAGCGGACTGAGCAGTATAAGTACTATTATAATATTCTAGTGGACTGGGCAGTAAAAGTACTGTTCTTAATATTCTAGTGGACTGGGCAGTAAAAGTACTATTATAATATTCTAGTGGACTGGGCAGTATAAGTACTATTATAATATTCTAGTGGACTGGGCAGTATAAGTACTATTGTAATATTCTAGTGGACTGGGCAGTAAAAGTACTATCGTAATATTCTAGTGGACTGGGCAGTAAAAGTACTATTATAATATTCTAGTCGACTGGGCAGTATAAGTACTATTCTTAATATTCTAGTAGACTGGGCAGTAAAAGTACTATTATAATATTCTAGTGGACTGGGCAGTATAAGTACTGTTCTTAATATTTTAGTCGACTGGGCAGTAAAAGTACTATTATAATATTCTAGTCGACTGGGCAGTAAAAGTACTATTGTATATTCTAGCGGACTGGGCAGTATAAGTACTATTATAATATTCTAGCGGACTGGGCAGTAAAAGTACTATTATAATATTCTAGCGGACTGGGCAGTATAAGTACTATTCTTAATATTCTAGTGGACTGGGCAGTAAAAGTACTATTATAATATTCTAGTGGACTGGGCAGTATCAGTACTATTCTTAATATTCTAGTGGACTGGGCAGTAAAAGTACTATTATAATATTCTAGTGGACTGGGCAGTATAAGTACTATTATAATATTCTAGTCGACTGGGCAGTATAAGTACTATTATAATATTCTAGTGGACTGAGCAGTATAAGTACTATTATAATATTCTAGTGGACTGAGCAGTATAAGTACCATTATAATATTCTAGTCGACTGGGCAGTAAAAGTACTATTATAATATTCTAGTGGACTGAGCAGTATAAGTACCATTATAATATTCTAGTCGACTGGGCAGTAAAAGTACTATTATAATATTCTAGTAGACTGGGCAGTATAAGTACTATTATAATATTCTAGTGGACTGTGCAGTTAAAGTACTATCGTAATATTCTAGTGGACTGGACAGCAAAAGTACTAATATTATATTCTAGTGGACTGGGCAGTATAAGTACTATTATAATATTCTAGCGGACTGAGCAGTATAAGTACTATTATAATATTCTAGTGGACTGGGCAGTATAAGTACTATTATAATATTCTAGTGGACTGGGCAGTATAAGTACTGTTCTTAATATTTTAGTCGACTGGGCAGTAAAAGTACTATTATAATATTCTAGTCGACTGGGCAGTAAAAGTACTATTGTATATTCTAGCGGACTGGGCAGTATAAGTACTATTCTTAATATTCTAGTGGACTGGGCAGTAAAAGTACTATTATAATATTCTAGTGGACTGGGCAGTAAAAGTACTATTCTTAATATTCTAGTGGACTGGGCAGTATAAGTACTATTATAATATTCTAGTGGACTGGGCAGTATAAGTACTATTATAATATTCTAGTGGACTGGGCAGTACAAAAATGATGTGGATTGTTTGAAGCAAGATAATTGTACTGAATATTCTAGTGGACTGGGCAGTACAAAAATGATGTGGATTGTTTGAAGCAAGATAATTGTACTGCAGGATATCAATTAGGTACAACAATTATGATGTTTACTATGCATAACAAAAAAAGTAAGTTTTTGAAACTTGAGTTTTTTTAACTTCTTAATGAATTTAAAAAATGGGTTCATTTATAATAAATGAATTTGAAAAATTCAGAAAAATATGATTAATGATTGTATTATGCAGTCGCATGAACAAAACTTGAAAATAATTTTTACTAATTTTTAGTTAACATTTTCTATCATATTAAGTAAACGTGAAGGGGGGGGGGTGAATGGGATTAACCATACTTTTAATTCTAGATTTTAAACTTGTCAACGAGCGCTTAAGCCAGGGAGTAAGGAATAGAAGGGAGATACAACTGACGCGTTAGTAAGCAACACTTTGATTTAACAATTATATTTAAGGATTATTGGATGAGAGTTGGAAGGATTTAAACTGGGAGGATTTCGCTTCAGCTGCCTCACTAAGGTTAATTTCATATCTTGGAAAACTTTAATTAAATTTTTTTGACATATTTTCGTTTAGACTGTACTTAGCTTCCCTGGTGGACTATTCCAATGAGCGTGAAACTTATGGTGCTGCTCATATACGGTATGTATTCAACTCCCTTAGCTACAGAGTTAAAGCTGATTTATTACCCCAGTCTGAGGAAAATTATCAATCTTTTTCATCCCTGAGTTTTAACTTTTCCTCCCAGAGAACAGTGAAGATATAATTACTTATACTTGTTTCTTGCTAATAAGAAAAAAATTGGAGAAACTTACAGAAACTTATTCAAAAAGTCAGAAAAATGAAAATATTTTGAACTTTTTTGATCAGATTGCCATATTTGCATGGAGGGTCACTTGAAATTACACTTACAGTCTTTTTACGTATTTTGTGTTTTATAAAAACCTTGATCAAATGTTTAGGTGTAAAGGAGGTGTTGTTAATGGTGGAAAGGTTCAAGTTGTTGCTCTGCCTCCCCGTAGAATAGATAGAACTGGATACAAGCTGTACAAGGATAGGGTCAGCTTTAATATTATTATTCTAGGTAGGACAATTCTTATTTATTTCCACTGGACTCCACCATGCATTGCATTCAGAAACTTATTTATTTCCACTAGACTCCACCATGCATTGCATCCAGAAACTTATTTATTTCCACTATACTCCACCATCCATTGCATTCAGAAACTTATTTATTTCCACTTTACTCCACCATGCATTGCATCCAGAAACTTATTTATTTCCACTAGACTCCACCATGCATTGCATTTAGATGCTTATTTGTTTCCACTAGACTCCACCATGCATTGCATCCAGAAACTTATTTATTTCCACTAGACTCCACCATGCATTGCATCTAGATACTTATTTGTTTCCCCTAGACTCCACCATGCATTGCATCCAGATACTTATTTATTTTTACTAGACTCCACCATGCATTGCATCCAGATACTTATTTATTTCCACTACACTCCACCATGCATTGCATTCAGAAACTTATTGACAAAAAAAGAATAATTTGTTAAAAATGAAAAGATCGAGAAAAAAATGAATTTTTGATGATTCTGAAAAATATTAATGTCAAGTCAATTTTCGCATTTTATTTTACATTTTTTTATTTCGACTAATGATAAACAATTTTTTTGATATATACATGCATACAATACATTAGTCAGGAGTCAGGACCTATCTAGCCGATAAGGCTGTTTTAAATGAAGGCCCTACACGAAAAATTACAAAAAAATTTAAGCAAAGAAAATTAGGATAGGAGGAGAAGGAAAAAGGAAAAAAGAATGGCGTTCTATTGATTTTAGTGAGTAATTTACATGTCACAGAAAAGGGGAGAAGATTGGAAGAGTATTCACCAAAACAGCTCTGCAAAACTAAGAATAGAAAAGATACATCTTTCCAAATCACAAGGAAGAGCAGATGATAACATGATTAACCCCTGGCATACTTGTAGATGATCTGAGTCGGGATGAGTTCTACTCTGTGTATCCCCAAACAGTTGGGAAGCTTGAGAAGATCAATAGAGATCATACAACTCAGACAGAAGTTCTTGACTTCTCTATGCTTCAGAACCTAGGGTAAGTTTTTTTATCAGCTTTTAAGTCGTAGACTCATGTTTCCTGAAATGCAATCTTTCCTCTTTTTGGACATCTAGAAACCATATATACCATAAACCATTATGGGAAGTTGGAAAGCCGCCCCCCCCCCCAATTAAAATGTACCAAGGGCAGTTTTGGGGGATTAGAACAAATCTTTTCAACATACATTTGCTTTCTTGACCCTGTAACCTCAAATTGAACTGTAATGGATGAAATGAATGCTGAAAGGGACTGTAAGCGTAATTTCAAGTGACCTTACATTCAAAGATGGCAATATCCGATTTACAACGATACCTTTGAAACCTTCATGAGGTCTAAAATGTGGAAGATATTGTAATTTGTCTAGGTTTAGAAGTGTTTAATTTGGATTATTTCTATTTGTTTCCCTGCAGTAGAAATACGCAAGTCACATTTTTAGCGAGAGCACAATCGGAAATAATCATTTTTAAAATTGGAAACATTGATATCTAATTAATACTTGATTAGAAAATATACAAAGATTTTAAATGTACCAGATAAAAGAATTCCAGATTTGCTATTTAAAAAATTATGATTTAGGTCGGAAAATAATGAAAATCTCAGAGCTTTATTCACAGGTAACCAAGAAATAAAAAGTTAAACAATTCTGATAATGATAATATGAAAATGATGATAAGAATGCCCTTATTGGATTGGTTGCTTGTTTTTCTCTCCTTGGTTTATAACTTGTCTGAATTATATTTTATTTTATTCGGGTTTCAGAACGTTTTGTGCCCTCTAACCTGTTAACATTTTTCTTTTTTCATTACTGTACAAGAACAGTTTTGTGGCACAGCAGATTTTGAAATAATTTGCAATCAATATTAGTCGAAATAGGAATTGCAGCATTAGAAATATTTCATATGTTACACATAACAATACATTTGGTTGCAATTAATTTGATTGCAACTGAGAATATTCCATCCAAGTTTGATTGCAAATGAAAGTGATTCTTCTCATTAGAGTTTTGATTGCAACTGAATGGTTGATTGCTATCGAAATTTGATTGCAAATGAAATTTGATTGCAACTAAGTTTTAATTGCAACTAAGCTTTGATTGCAGTTGATATAATTGCAAAATTTTGATTGCATTTGAGTCTTGATTGCAATTGATTTGATTGCAACTAAGTCTGATTGCAGCTAATTTTAATTCTCGCAGTTTTTTCTGCTTTCATCGGCGGATTATAAAAATAAACAGAAAATTTTCGTATAAATTTGACACCGTTTTATATCAATTTCTCGAGACAGGAACATCAGATACATGTCTTATATGTATCGTTTAACGCCTAAGGTTCTCAGGTTTCATCATATACCCTCTTTAATATATACATATAAGACATGTATCTGATGTTCCTGTCTCGAGAAATTGATATAAAACGGTGTCAAATTTATACGAAAATTCATATAAATTTACAATTTTGTATAAAAGTTGTAGTATGAAACAGATCATATTCAACAATATATACGCAACCAATCTGAAAACGACGAGATCCCACAGGAGCCTAAGAATCTCAGGTTTGCTCCTATTATATTTTTTTGCAATTTTTATAGATATAATTGAAAATATTATTACATATAGTCCGAATTACGTCACCAGAACCTCAGCTAATGGCAGTGCAGTATACTGGTCACGAGATTTCCATCTGTATCACATGACAATGATCCTGAACTGTCATTGGCTGAAGTTCTGGTGACGTTATACAGACTATGTGTAATTACATTATCAATTATATTATAAAAAATGCAAAATAGAAATCAAAAAATAAAATAGGAGCAAACATGAGAATTTCAGGCTCCTGTGGGATATCGTCGTTTTCAGATTGGTTGCATATTTGTTGAATATGATCTGTTAATGCTACAACTTTTATACAAAATTGCATAAATATGTAATTTCGTATAAATTTGACACAGTTGTATATCAATTTCTCGAGACAGGAACGTCAGATAGATTCTTATATGTATCGTTCAATATTTCATTTTTCCTTAAAAGTCCCTTTCAGAGACACTTGGAGGTCTTATTTGAATTTTAAATATTTTGCAGCATTATTTGTAAGCTTTCTGAATTACACATATAATTCTTGAAACTAAATTCCTTTAATCTTCGTATCTCCGATAATTTTCAAAACACAAAAATGGCAGACCACATTTTGAAAATGCCGGATTTTGGATTAAATGCCGCAAATTATTTCAATGACCTTTAAGTGGTCTGTCATGTTTGGTGGGACACCCTGTATGTTATGTAAGGTTATGTTGCTCCGCCGAATGATGATGGTGAGAGGCTGGATGAGGAGGACAGAGTTGAGGAGGAAAGCAAACCTGGAAAGGATCAAGAACTCATCTTTGGGTACTTCTCTTCTAAAGGTATAGTTTTTACCCCTTTTAATTTATTTTGTACCCCTTTATATTTAGTCTTTCCCCTTTTAATTTAGTTTGTACTTCTTTAATTTAGTTTGTACTTATTTTAATTTACTTTGTACTTCTTTAATTTTTTTTGTACCTCTTTAATTTAGTTTGTACTTAATTTAATTTACTTTGTACTTCTTTAATTTTTTTTTGTACCTCTTTAATTTAGTTTGCACTTAATTTAATTTACTTTGTACCCCTTTATATTTAGTCTTTCCCCTTTTAACTTAGTTTGTACTTCTTTAATTTGTTTTGTACCTCTTTAGTTTAGTTTGTACTTATTTTAATTTACTTTGTACTTCTTTAATTTGTTTTGTACCTCTTTCAATTTAGTTTGTACCTCATTTTTTTGTACATGTTTTAGTTTAGTTTGTACTTCTTCTTATTTATTTTGTACTAGTCTTTATTTTTGTATTTCATTTTATGTGTTCCAGACTTTTCTTGTTAAAGGGGTTATCTATTGATGTGTCAACTGAGGTCACGGTCCTCTAATGTTTTTTTTTTGCATAATCCAGTGTTTCCAATTTAAGGTTACAAAACAGCTGTTTATGATTCTGGATGCTGGTATAAGACGAGCAAACTCGCTTCTCTTTTAAACATCAAGCAAAATGAAACCAGAGACATATTTGAGGTACTTAACTTAAGTTTATTTTATTCTAGATTTATATCTTGCAAGTGTAAACACAAACTTCTAATAATTAGTTATTGAGAAATTTTTCTTTTCAGCTTTAGAAACGTCTCTGTTGTGCTATTCAGAGAAATTTAATATCATGAGAAACAAATTATTTTGATTTTTGTCAAATAAACAATTAAAATTTACTGAACTTTGAATATATTAATTATCATTGGACTGTAAGCATAATTTCAAGTGACCCTCCATGACCAAAGAGAGTATTGCCTGATTTACAACAAGACCCTTTAAACTCTTGCGTCCCTTGAGATAGACGAATATTTTACATTAATTCGACAGAAAATATATATTTTCTTCTAATTTAAAAAAGGAAAATAAATATTTATGACACTTAAAACAGCTTGCATACTTAGTGTTTGCAGATTAATGAGAATAAGTTGTGAATGGGGCGTTGTCATCTATGCATGGAGGGTCACTTTACGCATCCAGTCCCTTTAATGATTGATTCATTGATCAGGAAAGGTTACAGCTGGCTGGTGAACAATCAGTTAGAACTAGAAGAGTTGATAAATTGATTGGTTAAAGTTGGTTTGTATTCAATCAGTTAGTGGGAACTATTAGATCATTATTGATTGATTAATTGATCAGGAAAGGTGGAAGTTGGTTGGTATCCAGTCAGTGGGTACTAGAAGATCATTAATGAGTGATTAATTGATTAGGAAAGGTTGAAGTAGGTTGGTATCCAGTCTGTGGGAACTAGTAGATCATTAAATAAGATTAATTGATTAGGAAAGGTTGAAATTGGTTGGTTTCCAGTCAGTGTACTCCAGTACATCATTAATTAATATTAATTTATCAGGAAAGGTTGAAATTGGTTGGTATCCAGTCAGTGGGTACTAGTAGATCATTATTGTTTGATAAATTGATTAGAAAAGGTTGAAATTGGTTGGTATTCTGTCAGTGGGTACTAGTAGATCATTTTTGTTTGATAAATTGATTAGGAAAGGTTGAAATTGGTTGGTATCCAGTCAGTGGGTACTAGTAGATCATTATTGTTTGATAAATTGATTAGAAAAGGTTGAAATGGGTTGGTATTCTGTCAGTGGGTACTAGTAGATCATTATTGTTTGATAAATTGATTAGGAAAGGTGGAAGTTGGTTGGTATCCTGTCATTGGGTACTAGAAGATCATTAATAAGTGATTAATTGAAATTGGTTGGTATCCAGTCAGTGGACTCTAGTATATCATTAATTAGAATTAATTGATCAGGAAAGGTTGAAATTGGTTTGTATCAAGTCTTTGGTAACTAGTATATCATTAAATAAGATTAATTGATCAGGAAAGGTTGAAGTTGGTTGGTATCCTGTCAGTAGGAACTAGTAGATCATTAATGATTGATTAATTGATCAGGAAAGGTTGAAGTTGGTTGGTATCCAGTCAGTGGGAACTAGTAGATCATTAATGATTGAAATTGATCAGAAAAGGTTGAAATTGGTTGGTATCCTGTCAGTGGGTACTAATAGATCATTAATGAGTGATTAATTGATCAGGAGAAGGTTGAAGTTAGTTGGTATCCAGTCAGTGGGTACTAGTAGATCATTAATGATTAATTAATTTTTCAGGAAAAGGTTGAAATTGGTTGGTATCCTGTCAGTGGACTCTAGTAGATCATTACTGTTTGATAAATAGATCAGGAGAAGGTTGAAGTTGGTTGGTATCCTGTCAGTGGGTACTAGTAGATCATTAATGATTGATTAATTGATCAGGAAAGGTGGAAGTTGGTTTGTATCAAGTCTGTGGGAACTGGTAGATCATTAATGATTGATTAATTGATTAGGAAAGGTTGAAGTTGGTTGGTATCCAGTCTGTGGGAACTAGTAGATCAACCTGTATCCATCCTTCTTCATGCTGTACTCAACTAAATTCGGTAATAACCTTCCTCCTTCTCAAATCAAATCAAATTTTTTAAGTTTTTCAATTGCCATTAAGTAATTAAAATATTTTTTAGGTGAAATTAAATTTTCACAGTTTGACAATGCATCTTAAAAGTTTTGAGCAGCACCGTGTTCCTTACTTATCAGTTTTATTCCTAAACAACAAGGAATTAGAGAACAAGGTAATTCATGTTTTCAACAGCCTCAGACGAATACTTTTTGAGTTATGTAAAAAAAAACTACAGAGGGGGGTCAAATTGACCCCCCCACCCCAGCAGGAATAGGGTTAAATAATTAATGTTACCCTGTTATGTTTTACATATATTCCTGTTTCCAGTATGTTTTGCCTTTTGTTTTTTTCTTTTCATTTGTAGTCTTAGTATAGTCCCATGAAACTGTGGACTAGGAAGACGACATTAAAGCAGTTTTGTCTTTTTGTGTTTTAATGCTAACAGTTTTGACAGTAGCTTGAAAATAAATTAATCAAGTGAATTTGGTCTATTTATAGAAGACATTGCACAACTGCTGCGATAATCATTAATTGAGTCTAACAGTCATGTGTCCCTATCCCACAGTTTTATAGATGTATAACCTATATTTGAAATATTTATTATTTGAATATTTTTTGGTAGAAAGTTGTTTTTATAAAGGGTCTGATAACATAATTACAAGTGACTCTACATTTATAGATTGGAATGTCTGATTCACAACTATTATTTGTTTGTTCAAGAATGCACGAAATATCAATCATTTTTGGGGCTGGATTATGGATTATGATACCACACTGATCTACACTAATTTTCTCTTAAATTGTTGATAAGGGAATACCATTTTGACATTTTAATAAATAAATAATTCTTATTCAGGAGCTGGACAAAGTCCTTCTGGAGCATGTCGAGGAGTCAAAAAAGTTTAAGAATACATTCACCATTATTACTTCAGCCAAGGTAGATCCCACTCCCCCACTCCACTCTTTTTCAAGAAACAATTTTCAATTTGATTTACATAAATGGACCCTTCTAGGAGTAACTTTAGCCACACCCATCACCCATCATATATGTTAAACAAAATTATCTTTTAAAAAACTGTATGTGAATGCCCTCGAAAGTGACTCAAGGATTTCTTCAGCATACATCAAACAAGATAATAATAAAGATTTATTGACAAATAAATAAAAATGAAAACGACAAGTCTGATGTCTTTATTTTTTAACAAAAGCGGCAAGTGATAGGTCACTTATGACAAAAAATGAAGTTTCCCCTAACTCTGTGGACTGATTTACAATGTTTATATTATTTTACTGTTTAGAGTGAAGGTGAATACAGCAGCATGCCACTGTTTATGATTGTTCCTGGTCGAGCCAAGGATGTTTTAATAGACATAGAATGGCAAGGACTAGTAGGAAATCAGGTAGAACTAGTTTCTCTTATTTAACCTTAGGTCAATACTTTAGTGTCAGATAACTCTTTTCTTCTTAGTTTAAATTTGTTATCCACTGTGAGTTTCTCCAATTTAAAGCTGCCACAGACTGTGACAGCTTTAAATTTGAGGATAAGTGCCAAACCCCTCAATTTTAGTTATTCCTTTGGGTTATACCACAGTTGTATGTCCAAGAGGAATTCATGGAATTGACCTTTTGTCAATTTCAAACTAGTAACTGTATTTATGCACCATGTTAACCAGTAAAAGAAACATGAAAGTTGATAATTACCCATAAATCATCTTTAAAATTTGGTTGTCCATATTTTGGGAATTTCTTTTATTCTTATACATAAAAATTAGGTTCTACATAATCAAGAAGTTCTATCAAAATCTGGGTCCATGGGACCAAATTTATAAAATGCAATAAGGAGGGGCAAACTAATTTGCAACTGTGTAATACATTACAGATTAGAAGCAAGTTTTGAAAGAAACGTTTAAAAACATATTTTTGAATAAAAACTATCAACCAAGCTATGAAAGATTTAAAATTAATTTCTTGTGCTTTGAGTAAAAACAAACTTGGATGATAACAGCAAATAGTGACTTAACATTAAAGGGTTGAAACCCTGTTTCTACACAAGAGAAGATCAATGAAATATTGTTGAGATTTGTGCAAGTTCAGTTGAAAACTTCTTTGCCATGTGTTCTCTACCACAAAAAGCATTTAACATGTTGAATAGGTAATACAATGTCACAATTACTGAAAGCTGAAAGGATTTCCTTTTCTGATTGCGTTCGAAAAGAAATTCTGTATGAAATCATATAGTCCTAGTGCAGACATGCCTATCCAAAGTCCTAAAGCACTTCCCACTTCTACTATGAAATCAAATTCATCATAGCTGCGACCACTCATAGATACCTAAATTTTGAAGAAGTAATTACATTTAAAGGATTGAATTAAAATAAAAGTGAAGTTGATAAAAAAAATAAGGTTTTAGCTAATTTTTTAAAGAACTTTAAGGTCCTCTTTTCATTGAAGTAATGAACAAATTGGATGAAAGGCAATTTTAAATTGATAAGTGTTAAATTGAACAGAAATATTGGGCATGGTTCTAATTATATCAAATCATATCATATCATGCTTTGAGTTCCAACAAACGGAATTGTTGGGTTAAGACACTTTTAAGGAGGATCATTACCTTTATGCTGCGCTTAAAAGTCAGCTCAATTGTACTATTGAAATTTATGCCCTTTGTGTTGATGAGAAAGGTTGATCTAATTATAGTTTGGTGGCAGGGAGGTTTGCAATTTCTTGTGACATGATCCAAAGTCCAATCAGCTTGTCTTGTTAACTCATATACAAAATCATATGTTTCATTACTATATGACTTCCTGAAAGTAAGGATGATTGATATCATTAAATCTAATTTTTTTTTCACTCAAACTTGTCAATATGAAAAAGAAGAAGAAAGAATTATACTTATTTAGGTTACTATTTGTTTTGACTAATTGTTGAAACTAATTTCCCTTCCTCACAGTCCCCTCACACTGGTTGACTGGTGACATCCATGGTGGTAAACAGTTTATTTCAGGAATGAGCATTTCCACCAGCTCTGAGTGTTTGCAGTGCTCATAGCTCAAGAACTCTTCAGTTTCCCCATAGTCAGTGCACTCTTCACCAGGTTTCTTCTTGTAAAGATGTGTTTCATGGACATCAATAACAAATGTTAAGAAATCATTGTATTTTCCAGGTTTGGCCACCAGATTTTGTTTATCTCCAATCATTGAAGACTCTGATATCCTATAATAAAGTGTTCTCAAAGGATCTGTTACAAAAACACTTATGTTTCCGCTGTTACTAATGAGGATTGCTTTGGTCATGTCATAATTTTTTAGCTCCTTACAGTGTCCATGTGGAAGGATAAATCGGTCTTCTAAGAATGCGTTTTTTGACTCAATGCCATAATCTGACAATGATCTGTTGAAAAGGATTTCTTTAGATTGTTGAAATGTTAGGCTGTTAATTCCTCCCCAGTTTAGATTTCCATTAGTTCCATTAAGCATGCCAAGAAGAAAATGAAACCTATATTGGTAGCCCATTTTGTGTGACTGAGCCCAATCATATTGTTCTTTTGGACAAATCATGATGGTGAAGGGGGTCACTTCTTCAATATCCTTGTAGGAAACCATTAAAACTAGAATTTAATGCATAACACTAGATGTTGTAAAGGTCAGAGAAAATTCCTGAGGATATTTTTAACCATTAATTAAAAGCTTGTAGTACAGAGTCTAAAACTAAAGAACAAAAATTTACGACTTAAATGTTAATTTTTAGCTTAAATGCCACTTCTGGCTTAATTTAAACCGGAATTTTAACCCTGGGTTTAAAGATTTAATTCACCGAAATGGATGAGTCTTGAAATCCTGCATTTTCCCAATTTGTCTATCAATCAATCATCATTTAGCTGGGAAAGCAGCATTTAACTTTACGATATATTTAAAGTGAAAACCTTGATTTAACAAATTTCACATTTTAGATTAATTAATATTTGCACATAAACCCAAAAACGGTTGTAACTGGAAATATGTTTTGTTTTTGGTTACATAAATAATTTAAAATTAAAAGACAGTTGATCTGATGAGCAATGGTTAGTGGTTATGTAATTATCTCTCGCGTGGATCCTTTTCTCTGATTGGTTCAGTTTTTTCCTGGGAAATTCAAATTTTCCTTCAGGGTTAAATTGAGAGTTTAATATTTAAGTAGCAACTCATTATTTTAGAGAACTTTTAAGCTATAACTTAAATTTTGCGCATTCTTTAGCTTTAGACTCAGTTGTATGTAATGTGTATTCACTGTGTATCCTGAGCAAGTGATCTTAGGGATCGAGTGACCTTAGTGTGAGTCATCAATGGGTGTCCTCAGTGAGTGACTTCAGTGTTAATCCTCAGTGAGTGATCGCAAGATGCATCATCAGTGAGTGACCTCATTTTGCAGCCTCAGTAAGAGACTGCAGTGTATGTCCTCAGTGAGTGACCCCAATGTACATCCTTAGTGAGAGATCGCAATGTGCTTCCTCAGTGAGTGACCTCATTTTGCAGTCTCAGTGAGTGACTGCAATGTGCATCCTCAGTGAATGATCCCAATATGCCTCATCAGTGAGTGACCTTATTGTGAAGTCTCAGGGAGTGATCGCAATGCATGTCCTCAGTGAGTGACTCCAATGTGCTTCATCACTGAGTGATCGCAATGTGTGTCCTTACTGGATGTTCTTATTAGGACTTATTTCCTTAGTTCTTAAAAAGTGTGTTGTTTCTGTTTGCAACAGAATTTAAATAAACGTTGCCAGCTAGTTGAAAGGGCATGTTAACTTCCCTGTTTCTATTTATTTGTAATTTGGGAGATATTTTGGCTCTGTAAACTTCTAAAAACTCTATCATGTTATGGTCCTGTAGGATCTGAGAAGTATTTAACAATTGCAGTGGTCATCTGATAGACCAGCAAAATCAGAGTACATATCTGAAAACAGGTTCTAAATATGTTTGCAGAGTTCATGGTATACTGACTCAGGGTTTCTTTACTACTACCTACTAACTAACGTAATATTACATAATGTTAGAATGGGTTCATTTTTACTTAAATTGAATAGGAGGGGGAATAAAATTGTACTTTTTGTCAGGTATAACAAAGGCTTCAAAACATGTTTTTGAAGGGTTGTGTCAATTCTTTTTTTAAATAAGTTATTGCATTTTTATATGTAAATTGAATTGAGTAGGGGTCTGTCAGGTTCTGTCAATTATAAAAATAATAGTATTGTAACTAACTGTCTCAAATCATTGTTAAAGTGAAGTAAATATTTACTGAAATTCTGTGAGATAATAAAGCTCTCCGTTCATTAATATTAGTGATAGTTCTGTGTTCTAGGGGGGGTTAGGCCCCCCCTTTACAGGTCTAGGGGGAGGCGCTGCCCCTCTTGATCCCCCCCCCTGTATACGCCCTTGTGTGGAATCATGGGAATATGGTCCTAGGTTTAGCAATTTAAACAATAAATTAGCTGATGAGTAAGCAATAGTTACTGGAGGGAAATTTCTTGAAAATTCTGTGATGCATTTGCGAAAATGTTTATTTAAAGTGAATTTTGTAAAATTTCTTTGTTCTCAATATTGTTACTTTATAGAAATTATAGAACATAAAAACATTTTAAAGGTATAAAATGGACCCTGGTATTTTATTTCATAACACTGTACTCTTAGTTCAACTCCCCTATCTAGCCAGTCTCTTCAATGATTGAATATGTATAAGCTTGTTAACGCTGTGCCAAGAAATTTTGAATGTATTATATTTTAGGATAGATTAATTTCTCATCTAGATGTCTACCATACATTCAGGTATTTTTTTTAGGTTTAAAATGATTGCTTATTTTTCTGCGATAACTTGCTATAAAATTTTTAATGATCTCTCATTTTCCCTCAGGTGAGATAAGTGTTTTTGAAGCATACTTTTTTTTAACAGGTTTTGGTTGATAATTTGCCACTTTGATCTGAATCCATGGATCCACATATTTTTGCGGATCCAAATTTGGATCCAGGAAGCCAAAATGTTTTGAATCCAAGAGATCTGGATCCGGATTCGGATCCTAAGCACTGAATGGGTTAATTTAATGAGGACCTAAAGAATGCCTATACTAATTAAAAAATGACAAAAATACTGAAAGTAATATCTGGAAAAATAATGATGATAATGATAATAATAATGTTTTGTACTAACTATATGGATGTTAATCTCAAACCCTTGATGATGATTTGATAAAAATGATGATAATATTAATAGTAATAATACTAGATGGATGATAAAAACTAAACCCTCTGAAATGGTTGGAATGAAAGACCTAGATGTGGATTTACTGGAGTTTAATAAGAAGTATATGAGCAGCAGAGAGGGTCTAATAGCAGATATTTCAAGACAGAGGAAATTAAGGCTTCTTTAACATCTTAATCCTAGAATTTTTTAAATAAATGGAAATTTTTGTTTTCTACTTTTTGGTTCAAAATAAAAAATATTCCCATATGCCACCCACTATTAGAAAGGGTCTCTATGATACTAGGCTCATTGTTAAATAACTGACTCGCAAGAAAAGGCTTATTTTTTACATTATTCCGGATTCAAAGCTGTTTAAAAGTTTTACACAATTTTATAAATTCAAAATTAGAACCAGAAAACTGAGGAGTAAAAAGACGACATTAAAGCAACAATTAAGTGTATTTGATGTTGTAACTTGAGTGTAAAAGTCGTCTTCCTATTCCAGAGTTTTAGGTCTGTCCTGCATGTCTCCCATTCCAAATCTTGTATTAAAAAGTTTAAAATTGATAAACTACCTTGTCCTGAAAGCCTGGATTGTACAGGCAGTGTAAAGATCTGCCTAGGTCAGGGTTTGGGTGCCTATGCCGACCAGAGGCTCAACTCTTAACCATAAATCCTACAATTCAGTTGCTAGGTAGATATGGTTATAAATTCATCAGCTTGTAACTATATTCATTCTTTCCAGCATCTATTCAAAGTGAATCACTTTGGCATCCATTAGCCAGTGGAAGTTTATTGGGAGTCCTAAACTCCAGTTGCTAAATAATTTCATCCATTCATCCATTACTCCATTTATCCATTCATCCATTATTCCATCTGAGTAAATCCCAAATAAAGATAAAGAAACCACAAAAAGGAGTCCCAAAACCCAATTGCTGCATCCTTTGTTTGATCATTAGTTCATTCTTTTTTCACCTTTTTCATTCTCTCATTTTTGTATTCATCCTTTTCCTCTCATTCTATGTCAATTCTAGGATATACTTATATTCTTATCTTTATATTTTTAATAGTATTTGATAATTTTAGGAGTGTTTGGATGTGAGAATATAGAAGATGGTAGATTGTGTGGATGTAACACTCTAGCGGTGGTTTCTGCAACAAAAGAACAATATCCGGTATTATGATTATGATAATGATTATGATTATGATTATGATTATGATTATGATTATGATTATGATTATGATTACGATTACGATTACGATTACGATTACGATTAAGATTAAGATTAAGATTAAGATTAAGATTAAGATTAAGATTAAGATTAAGATTAAGATTAAGATTAAGATTAAGATTATGATTATGATTATGATTATGATTATGATTATGATTATGATTATGATTATGATTAAGATTAAGATTAAGATTAAGATTAAGATTAAGATTAAGATTAAGATTAAGATTAAGATTAAGATTAAGATTAAGATTGTGATTGTGATTGTGATTGGGATTGGGATTGTGATTGTGATTGTGATTGTGATTGTGATTGTGATTGTGATTGTGATTGTGATTGTGATTGTGATTGTGATTGTGATTGTGATTGTGATTGTGATTGTGATTGTGATTGTGATTGTGATTGTGATTGTGATTGTGATTGTGATTGTGATTGTGATTGTGATTGTGATTGTGATTGTGATTGTGATTGTGATTGTGATTGTGATTGTGATTGTGATTGTGATTGTGATTGTGATTGTGATTGTGATTGTGATNCCCCGGGGGGTGTAATCTGCATTTACTAGGATTTTTCTTTAATCAAGAATTTATTTTCTAGGGAGATGATATGCATATAAACCTGGCAACAATTGAGCTGGAAAACGGGCTAGGTACACGCTCTGCAGTACAAATTAATGTAAACAAACAAACAATGAAAATTAAGGTTGGTGGAATTTCTTAACATCTTTAATTTATTAGTTGGTACTTGTTTTAATTTTTAAAAAAATATTTTAGATTTCCAGTATAGCGAGTAATCTTGATTGCGGGGGTGATTTGTCAAAAGATGACGACATTTTAGATCATATTGATGAGAAAATGGTCGAACCGGGGATCAAGAAATCGGTAAAAATTTACAATTCTTTTTGATTTTGATATCCTTAAAATTTCTAATCTTATGATAAATTTGCTCATGAGAGATATATTTATATTTAACTAAAAACTTGATAATTGACAGATCAGATAAAGGGGGGGGGGGCTGTTAGATATTGTTTATTTTTAAATGAGTTATTGTGGTTTATGAAACTTTTGTTTACCGTTATTTTAAGTTTTAGTTTTGTTTTAATTTACTTTTAAGATTGAGAGTTTGTACACAGAAAACGAAGTTGAATGTTTCTTCCTAGTTGAATCTAGTACAGCTGGGTTATCTGTTGTACAACTAGTTAATTCATGTACAGCTGAGGTAGGTATCTTTATAAAGTTGAATCTAGTACGGTTGGCTTATATGTTGTACATTTAGTTAATTTATGTACAGCTAAGGTAGGTATCTTTATATAATTTTATCTATGTACAGATGGTTTATCTGTTGTACAGCTAGTTAATTCATGTACAGCTAAGGTAGGTATATTTATATGTTTGAATCTAGTGCAGATGGTTTATCTGTTGTACAGTTAGTTATTTCATGTACGGCTGAGGTAGGTTTATTTATAGATTTGAATCTAGTAGACTAGTAAAGCTTGTTCATCTGTTGTACAGTTAGTTAATTCATGTACAGCTGAGGTAGGTATCTTTATGTATTTGAATCTAGTACAGCTGGTTTATCTGTTTTACAGTTAGTTAATTTATGTACAGCTGAGGTAGGTATATTTATATAGTTGAATCTTGTACAGCTGGTTTATATGTTATACATTTAGTTAATTCATGTACTGCTGAGGTAGGTATATTTATATAGTTGAATCTAGTACAGCTGGTTTATATGTTGTACAGTTAGTTAATTCATGTACTGCTGAGGTAGGTATATTTATATATTTGAATCTAGTAAAGCTTGTTCATCTGTTGTACAGTTAGTTAATTCATGTGCAGCTGAGGTAGGTATCATCTTTATCTATTTGAATCTAGTAAAGCTGGTTTATCTGTTGAACAGTTAGTTAATTCATGTACAGCTGAGGTATGTATCTTTATATAATTGAATCTAGTACAGCTGGTTTATATTTTGTATAATGATCATCTTCCAGCATTAATATTTGGGATTTTCTTTAATATGTACTTTTTAAAAGTTTAAACTTTATATTAGATGTTATATAATTGACGTGCCATTTTTGTTTATTTATTTATTTTGATAGTGTCAACATTTGATTTCATATTCTTTCTTTCAAGGGCATAAAATTATCTAAAACCCTACTGGTTGAAGGGGGCTCGTAAAGTATTTTTTGTCAAAAAACATTTTTTTTTTCTCGCGGGTTCTCGAAAAAGAAAAGTTTTTGGCTCAAATACTTTATTCCTCGCCTCCCTTCAACCCATAGGGTTATAAATAGTTATTAAGCATTAAGTATCCAAGATTTAAACGGGCCTTTCCAGTTCTCATAACCCTTCTTTAAACTATAGACTTTCTTTAGAATAGTCTTGTTTGTAAAGTACACATTATGTTGAGATTGATTTTGAGAATTTGATTTTTTACTTAATTCATATTTTCAGATTCGAGTAAAGCTAGAGTTTAGAGTTGAAAATGTATTTTATATGCGCACAGGTACAAATTAATAATTAGTCACTGTTCCTTGTATTTAATGTAATTTCAGTAATTTCTCAGTTTGGGCATTTTTAATTCGGTATGAAGTTGAATTAGCCACGCCTGGTTCAACTTCTTCTTTTTCATTAATAAATTTCTGACCTTTAGTCACATATGTTTGGTGATTTTCCATTGGAATTTTCTCACTGGAAAATCAAGTTTCGAATTGGGCCCCCCCCCCCCTAATCCACAGCTACCCAACATTACTTGAAGGTGCAGCATTCAGGGGCGAATTCAACAATTTGTTCAGGGTTGGGCTCAGCCATTGTTGGAGCTTAATAAAACTCTGGAAATTATAGATTTTACTGATCCAGAGAAGGCTGAGCCGCCAATACGCCTCTGGCAACATCGTATTTTGTTGTTCTTTAATTTTCCCGGCATAGCACGTGTTTGTGACGTCTAAATGAAATAATATTAATCTATCTGGACTAAAAGAAAGTTAGATTAAAAAATATAACTTATGTTTTTTTTTAATTTCAGACTTAATAGCTAACTTTTAACATAAGATATTTAAGAGTTCTTAATTATGGACAGAATGTGTTTAGTACAATTGGCGATCTAAACTAAACCATATTTACAATTAACATTTTATTTTTCTACAAGGGAGGGAACACCCGGACGCCATGAGCCTCCGCTATACAGACACGAGCCTCACAAATTTGCCAGGCAGACCGCTGTACGGTAAACAAGCCTCCGCTATACAGAAAAGTTTCAATAAAACTCGTGGTTTTTACGTGTAGTAAAGAATTTTTTGTATTTTTTTTTTCGAAATAGTGGCATAAAAAGTTTATCAAAGATCAGACGTTTTAATCAATTATTATAAATAGTGACTAACTATGCCTAGTTAATTGGTTTTTTACACAAATATGATAACATTTAGTGAAAAAATTATATTTGATATTTGATAATCTTTGATTTAAATGATACTTGTATTGAAATTTTTATCAGATTAAGATATTAAAAATTTCACTTTGGCAAATAATTTGAATCTAAAAAAATCAAAAAAAAAGGTATTGCCTAAAACAAAGATTTAAACAAAATAAACTACGTTCAATTTAGTAATGAATTTTCAAATAGCCTTCTTACTGCATAAGAAATGTTTTATTGTAAAACATAAATCTTATAAATGACTTTATGAGTCAATATAAGTTACAAATCATGATAATCAATAAGCAACATTAATCTTGTAAAAAATTCTTATTCCACTATGTTGAAAAATGGAAAAAATTTCTATATTACATGTAAAAACCAAGAGTTATAAGGAATCTGTACTGTATAGCAGAGGCTCGTTTACTGCATAGCGGAGGCTCTTACTGCATGGTGGAGGCTCGGTCTGCCTAGCAAATCTGGGAGGCTCGTGTCTGCATAGCGGAGGCTCATGGNCCCCTCCTCTTGAGAGTATACTCTTCTACAAGCAAATTAAGCAGATTCAATCTTTTCCCCCGGCCTTACCGTGATGCAGTGATTTGCATTCCGTTGGTTCGCTTTTGGATCTTTTGTTTTGCCTATATATTTATTTAGGGTCGGAATTCGGCCTAGTGTAAGAGAACCAATTGTTTTTAAAATAGTTTATAAACAAAAGCTTTTCCAGATTTTGAACCTTGCAGAAAATGAAAGCAAAAAACTAACCAAAACAAATCCAGAAACTATACAAAAACGGACATCGAACATGTTATAGTGATAGTTTTTGGATTATTTTTAATTTTTTGTTGTAAGATACAAATGTTGCCAAGTTTAATGAAAGCCAACCTTAACTCTTGACAGTTTTAAATCTTGTGAGTTTTATTAAAAGTTTCAAAAATGGATCCAAAACGATTAATAACCCTACCCTCATAGGAGTATACTCTATTCCATCTATTATACCTGACCTCCCCCCCCCCCCCATTATGAGGATTTTACACTTGCTAAAAATATGTAACAACTTATTATTCCTGTATTTTAGAACATATGTTCTTCCAATTATCTCTTTATTTCCGTATATCTTAGAGTTAATTATATAAGAAGAAAAAAACTATTTTTGAATTAACTTAAATTGATGCATAGCTTTTTGCCAAATGCCTAGATCATGAGCTTATAGCAATGGAAAGAAAAAAAAATTTAGTTTGATAAGCAAAAGAAGATGAAACCCATGCGTTTCTTAGAATTTGTCTTGAAACTTGAATATAAGACAAAAACCACCGTTTTTAATAGAAATTGTTAGTGCTCAAGTATGCAGTGTAAATGTAATTCTTCACGCAGTAATATTTATTAATTCAGACTTTACCTTGGTTATCAAAAGAAACTCTTGTAATTGTTGAACACTTAATATTTATAAATATTCACATTCAATTCGAATTTTTGAAAACCGCGTTAAAAGACGACCTCATGAAAATGAAATGTCTTATTGGGCACACTGTGTATATGTTTGCTTTCTGTGGATTCCCATTTGCCCATTTCCAAATTGCACAAATAACTCATGGAACATTTAAGCAAAAATGGTGGAGAAATGCGCGTAAAAATAATTGACAACATGTCTCTTTCATAAAAGAGGACTTTATCTGTTAAAATAAAATCTGACCATTCCGCCATGATAAGTACTTAACATTAACTTTATTTTGTTCGTAACATTGATTTACCAAAAGCATTTAAAATATTGAACATTCTGTTTAAAATTATGAACAGAATATTAGGGATATCTTCCAAATCTTTTTTTCATAATTCATTCGTGAACACGGTTGGGTACAGATTGTCCCACGAAATATGACTAGCAAGACGACCTGAAGGTCGTCTTTAATCATTAAAATATTTTGCAGCATTTTATTCGAAACCTTATAAAAGAAGTCTTATTCTAGAGTTAATAAACAGCTTCGAAATGTGTTGCGCTTACAATGTTACTACTTACCAGAGATGTGAAGAATTTTGTTCAGATATCGACAATTTTTGTCCTATGTAGTAAATTGAAATCTGAAAGAAATTTTTCACAATTTTGAGATTGTTTCTTCAAAAATCATAGATGTAAAGTGTAAACTGTAAAGGTTGGTTGAAAAACGAATGCCTCAAATAACTTCAAAAAAATCTAAGACGTTCCTCAAGTCGTCTTTCTACTGTCAAGTTTCGTCGGACCGTCTGTACGATTGCAAGTATTTTTTTTTTTCTTATCTATAATACTTTAATTCTCTTTATATGTCGTCTTCTTAACAAATTCCTTACTTCTGCTGTAAATTTCATATAAACGGCAATATTAAATAATTCTGAATAACTTTTATTTTTCTACAGTGATCGGCGTTTATATCAATACAACGAAAACGACTTTTCTATTTCATCTTGGTTTTTTTTCAAGCTATTTTCACATTACAAGAATGCAAAGAGAATCTATTAATTGACAGTTAACTACTTGTGTCCTTGATTTTGTATATTCATGCCGTTTGAAAGCTTAGTATAAATCAAATATTTAAAACAAAAGTCGTCTTCATTGCAATGACAAACGAATACAACGACATTTAAATCGAAAGTCGTTTTCATTGCAATGAAATATACGATGACGACTTTCAAGATTAAAATCTGATTTTAGAACTATTATACTGTATTATGTAATTGTAATTATATGTTTGTATTATGTTAAATATTTGTAAAGTTTCCAAACAGCTTGACAGTAGTCGTAGTAGTGTTTTTATTAAAAATGTAGAAATAAAATTGATAATAATCTTTTTATGATAAGAAATTACAGAGAAATATTTTACGTTTTTGGTTTTCAAAATTAGACAACTTGACTCGTGATATATTTTATAATCTGCAACTCTCGTAATCTCGAGCTGGGAATATATTCTAGTATTGTAAATATCGAGATCAAGTATTTATCTTGATCTTAAGTTAATCTACAGATTAAATTAATCAATATTTGATATCCGGTTAAGAGTTTTTTTTCTGCGGAAAGCGAAAAGCCAATCAGAAGTCAAGTAATTTTGCGTTCAACCAATGAGAGAACAGAGAAATATCAGATATCTAAATTCAAGAGATCCAGGTTTCTAAAATGTGGTCTGCCATTTTTTATTTTTGTGGTTTTAGTATTACCGGAGATATTAAGAATTTCGCTCAGATTCAATTTTCATTTAATGAAACCAAAAATTTTCGAAATCTGAACGAATTTCTTCATTTCACTGGTTAAATTGAAATCACAAAGAAGGCAGACTACATTTTTGAAATGCCAAATTTTTAAAATGAAATATTCACTTAGTTATTAATTGTGTTTACTATTTGTATTAACTCTTTATAAAGTTTAAAAAAGGGATAAAGAAATGTTGTTCAATATGCACTCTGCGCTACTACCGGAGATATGATGAATTTGTTAAGATTTCATCAATTTTGGAATTATTTAATAAGTTGAAATCTGATTGAAATTCTTAATATATCTAGTGACAGCACAATAAATGCAGAATGCAGACCACATTTTGGAAATACCGAGATTAGGACTGGGTAATTGGGAAATTTCTCAGTCAACTAAACATTTGAGAAATTTCTTACACTTCAAAAATAAAACCACCCTCAGATTCTCCAAGGAATTTGGGAAATTTCCCAGATCCCCATGAATTTGGAAAATTTCCCATATTTCCAGGTATTTTAGGAATTTTCCAGATTCCCTGGTATTTGGGGAATTCCCCAGATTTCCAGGTATTTGGGGAATTTCCCAGAATCCTAGGTATTTAAGGAATTCCCCAGATTTGCCAAATTCCTATTGGAATTTGAAGGTACATGGAACAGATTCAGTGGCGGATATAAGGGGGGTTATTGGGGTTATTTACCCCCCCCTAGAATCCTGGGGGTAAATACCCCCCCTAGAATCCTGGGGGTAAATACCCCCCCTAGAATCCTAGGGGCAATTACCCCCCCCCTTAGAATCTTGGAGGTAATTACCCCTGAACATATATGCAGGCCCTGAATAGCAGGGGTTACTCCACTTGCTGCCTCTACAAGTTACAGTAGCTTTGACCCCTTCACTTCAAAAAAAAAAAAAAATACATTCCCTATTGATTAGTCTGCACTCAAGTGTAAAGACTTCTATTTTCATGATAGTAAAAGTTTTTGCGGCATTTTGCAGATGCCTAAACAGTTATAAGCTTTGAAAACTGTTTAAAATTTAAACAAAAAATAGAAACGGAACTTATGTATATTGATAATTAGGTTGCTAACATGGCTGCGGAACACCATGAAA